TTAAAGCGAGAGGGTTAGCAAAAAATATTAAAAATTACAAGTTTATATGTGGAGTAATTCTTTGGCATGATATTTTGTTTGAAATTAATTCAGTTTCGAAGCTTTTGCAATCTGTTACTATAAATATATCAGATTGTGTAGGGATGCTATCAGAAACCATAAAAAAAGCGAAAAGTTATAGACAATCTGGATATATTCAGATGAAAATTGCTGCAAAGGAGATAGCAGAGAATCTCGAATGCAGTACAGAATTTCCTGATGACACTGAAGTTAGACCCAGAAGGAAAAAGCGTCAATTTGACTATGAAAAAGCTGTCGATGAACCCTTAACAGAGGAGAAAAAATTTAAAATAAACTTTTTCAACTATATTCTGGACATTACCCTTAATTCTCTGAATGAACGATTCATGCTTCTGGAAACCCATAGCAAAAAATTTCAGTTCTTATATGACATTTTAAAACTCAAAGGATATAGATGACAAAACGCTAGAAAATTATTGTTCCAGTCTTGAGTTTATACTTTCGGTTGAAAATGAAACAGATATAAATGCAAATGACCTTAGAGAAGAATTGCGTGATGTATCCAGAATGCTACCATATTCTACGAAACCTTTGGATGTTTTAAATTATTTATGCCAAAATAGCTTAATTAGTTTGTATTATCTCTAAGGAGGCATAATCTTAGACAGATTTTTTTTTAGAAAAGGTTAAAGTAATTTAGGTATCAACATGTAGAGTGTTAGCAACTTCAGTATAAAATGGTTGTGGTAGAAGTAAGAAAATTCGAAGAAATTGTCTTATAAAATAAAAGTGCACTAGTTGTTTATATTAGGGAAACAGCTTAAAAGAGGAAGGCTAAAGCCTAATGGTGATGATGATGATAATAAAGATGATGATCATGATCATGATCATGATGATGATGATGATCATCATCATCATCATCATAAAATTATTTATCATTGTTAAGCTTTTTGTATTTATGCTGTTGATGATGATGATGATAATGATGATTATGATGATCATGTTGATCACAATGATGTTCATACATGCATATATATACAAAATATAACATGAATTTTAAATTTAAAAAAATATACTTTAGGATGTATAAATGTTTATGCACACACCGGATTTATTATCACAAACCCGGCCCCAGCTATTTTTTATCAATCCTGGCCCCGGTTCCGGTCAAATATCAACCCTGGTCGTTAACTACAAAACATTTTAAGAATAAAATTATTAAGAATAAAAAACATCGCATTATTTTTAGAAATTATTACTTATTTTATGATATGACGACGATCACTATATATATATATATATATATATATATATATATATATATATATATATATATATATATATATATATATATATATATATATATATATATATATATATATATATATATATATATATATATACATATATATATATATATATATATATATATATATATATATATATATATATATATATATATATATATATATAGGGGAAGTGAGGGCATAACCGCCCCCGTAACGTTTGGAATAATGTTATATGAAAATAAAAACGAAATGTGTTTTTTTAGCAGTTTACTTCAATAACCACGTCATTAAGCTTTAAATTGATGCATTTAAGAAAAAAATTAAACAGGTTTTGAAAATGTTATTACACAAAAATTACACTTAGTGAAAAAAAACGGTTTTGCCCCCATTGTGAGGCACAACCGCACCCTCAAAAAAATCGATGGGGCTACACCTTTTATGGTACATTTTTTTTACAATTTTCACAGCTCAGATTATTTGATGATTTTGTTGCATTTTTGCATATTGTGCAGGCATTCTTTGTGTTTACATTCTTTGTGTTTACATTTTGTGTTCTGCCCCAGAAGAGAGTTCTACCCCAGAAGAGAGTTTTTAGAAAGAATTCAGTTTCATAGATTAATTATTAGATTATGGTATTATCAAAAATGACATTCACTTTATGAAATAATGCTGATAACACATATTTTTAACACTAAAATTAAATATTGCTTAATTCTCAAAAAAAAGGTCAGGAAAAATATGATGTAAATATAATATTTTTATCAAAATAAAAATTATTATTCACAACTTCTCAGAAACTTAACAGTCACTCTTTTTGACATATGCAAAAAGAAAGAAACTGTTTTACTAACGCGTGGTATGTTTGCCATATTAGATTACATTTTTTGAAGAGAAATGTTAAAAAACGGTTGTGCCTCCATATGCGGTTATGCCCCCAAGGTTGTAAAGGTTGAAATATAACGTTGAATCAACGTATATTTCAAGATAAATATATATATATATATATATATATATATATATATATATATATATATATATATATATATATATTTATCTTGAAATATACGTTGATTCAACGTTATATTTCAACCTTTACTCGACGTCTTTGAAACACGTTAAATCGACGTATTACTGCCCACGTTAAAAATCCTTACGAAATTGACTGCTTTAACAACGTTACAGTAACGCTTTTCAAGTAATGTTTTTTCAACGTTAAATTGTGACGCTTATATAACGCTTTTTAAGTAACGCTATTTCAACGTTTAGTTGCGACATTTTTGTAACGTCTATTAGTAACGTTTTTTAGTAACGTTTTTTTAACGTTACGCTACAACGTTTAATCAAAGTCTCTTTATCAACGTTACATATCTTTGCAAAATCGATTCCTTTGTCAACGTTTCCACAACACCTTTTGCGAGCGGTTTTTAACGTTGATTCAACGCTGACATGTTTGCTGGGTTCCGTCTCAAAAAGTTGCCAATCCCTGGTTTATACAATTTGTTAAATGCTTTTTTTGTTATTCTAGACTCAATTAAAAATAATTGGCTTTCACTGAAAATTTGTATTAGGTTTAATGTTAAGGTGAGGAGAATTTTATCAATTTGAAATATGATTATAATTTAAACGTGTAAACATTTTTGTGAAAAATTCTTAAGAGTAATTCTTCGTATTTTTAAATTAGAATTATGTTTATTAGGTAAAAGTTTAAAAATTTTTTTCTCTACCTTTTACTTTAATTCACTTTTTGTTCAGAGCAAACATTTGTAATTTTAAATGATTATGTTCATTTGAAATATGTTCATAAGTTAATGTTTGAATACATTTTTTTTCTAAACATTTTACTTTGAACGACTTTTTTGTTTCAGTTGTAAACTAGTCTATTTAAAGCATTTTTTTTTCAACCTTATTTTTTTTTGGGGGGAGGGGAGGGGGTAGGTAGGTAGGTGGGGTTATCGAATGTTGACATAATTTTCTAGGAGGGTCACTGAAAGTTCGACAAGTTGTTGACAAGAGGGAGGGAGGGGGGGTTAAAATTGCCAAAAAAATGTTGATGTAATTAATGGACAGCCCCCCAGAAACTACTTTAAAATGACATAAGTCAACTACTACTATTAACTAAATTATAGTATTAATATTAACAGAAGTTACTAAGTTAAATTACTTTGGATTTTTTGATGAAATAGCCTAAATAAAAGGTTATCATTTATGTACAAATAAGAAAAAAATTACTCGAACGCGCAAAGAAACAAATAATGCTTGCAGACATTTTATAGTTTTAACGTACAACAAGAAACATCGCTGAAGCAATTAAAATATTTAAATAACTCATTTTGAATATTTTTAAAACTTTATAAATTCAATTTTTAATTCTACCTTTTTAAACATTTAAAAGTTATAAAAGTATAGAGTCAATTAATTAATTTTATTAGAGTCAATTTATAAATTATTTTTTGTTATTGTTGTAATTTGGCAAAACTATTAGCTTAATACAGCGTGGTCGCAAATTTTTAATAAATATTCGCAGATATTTTTTTAATAACTTTTACAATATTTAATTATTAAAAATAAGTATTTAACGTTAAGGTAAATAATAAAATTGATAATAAATTTTAGCTTGTCGACTTGTTCTAAAAAGCATTAACCAAAATCAGTCCATTTAATTACTTATTATAATTTTTTTTGTTGTTGTCATAAAGATTTTTGCCAATTGCATAGAAGTAAAATTTCTAACTTTTAACTTTTGTTTTGTATAATTAAAATACTAATTTATTCTACTTAATTAATTAGTATGAAAAAAATTAGAATTTTTTAAATACTCAAAACTTTTGCAAACAATCATATAAATGAAACTTAATGTCAAGTATTTAACATTTGTTTCTAGTTAATATTTAATTGCTTTAAAGCAAACGAGCAATTGGTTTTCATTACATCCGCCGGCGGAAGCTGCCTCCAATTTGACGGCCGCAGCCATTTAGGAGGCAAAAGCCTTTAGAGGCGGCCTCCAAATAGCTTTACCTCCAAAATTTCTTCTGAAGGCAGCCACCATTAGCTTCCGCCTCTCTATTGGCGTCGGCCTCCAAAACATTTTGCCTCCAATAAGAACTCTGGCTGCGGCCTCCAAATAAGAACTCTGGCTGCGGCCACCAATAGAAAGGCGGAAGCCACTGGAGGCGGAAAAAAGAAGATTTTGCCGCTAAAAATTGATCGGGAGGCAGCAGCCGCCTGCTGTGGAAGAAAAGCGGATGCAAAAAGATTTACGCCGTTTATCAATACTGGTATGAACTAAAATGATACAAATCAAAGTTTAAATACAATTTTGAGCAATAAATTTTTAAACAAAGCACTGCAAAAACTTAACAATAAAATTTACTGTCGACATGAAACCAAGATCCTAGCAAAATACAACTGTTGCTAATTATAATTAATTTAATACTTATTATAATAATTAAAAGTACTAACAAATGGTAATTATGAAACATAAAATATATTAACATAACAACAAATGATAATGAATAAGTTAACTTTCTTTAAATTATACAATTATAACAGAATTAAGATAATAATAATATAATATTATATATATTATATATAATTAAGATAATAATAATATAATATTATATATATTATATATAATTAAGATAATAATAATAACAGTAATAGTAATAATAATAAAAAGTAACAACCAATAACTTAAAAAAAATAAATTATTTTATAGTTTTGATAAGCAACACGAATAAACCGCCATTTAACATTTTTATGATTTGATCATTTTTACTCCCATCAGTCTTTTTATAAGCTCTTTCTTAATAAGTAAAATTTCAAAATTAGTTCTTTGTATGACAGATTTGTTTTCATGCGCTCTTCTCACTAAATACAACAGCGTCTCGTTTATTTGTCCAAAAGGAACCGACTTATATACAAAATAGCCTTCCTTTCCAAGACTGTAGGAAACGTGGTCGCACATCCCATAGAGTTGACCAAAACAAATATTACGATCATTATTTTTAAGCCCAATCTCGGCCATTCTGAAAAAAAATTATTTTCATCATTATATTTATATCAATATATCAAACTTGCTGCATTATATACTATTATATACTATTAATTTATATTTATAAAAATTTTGTTATTAATAAATTGCTGTAATATTAAAAAAAGACAAAAAAATAAACCAGAAAATAATTATAATAAAGCTAGAAACATTTTTTACATTAAAACATTTTAGAGAACGAGAAAAGAAACATTTTTACATTACACGGCCAACCCTCGGAATTAGGGTCGGCATTCAGCAATGCCGACCTAACTGCCGACCTCAACGTGTTTGCGGTCGGCGGTTTTGCCGACCTCGTTTCGATGTTTTATGGTAAGACCTCTGTATTTGCTGACCTGATGCGACCTCTAAAAGATTGAGGTCGGCAAATTATTGCCGACCTCAATTTTCCTAATTCTGAGGGTTGCACGGCTTCTAAAATAAAAACTTTTACAGAAAGACTCGATGAGTACAAGAGAGAAAATAAAAATATCTTAACAAAATTTACAATATTGAAAATGGTGTAACAGTTTTTGTGTTACACCTTAAACTTATTTATCTTAGAACTCAGTTTTTTGAAATAAAGAAATTTATACGCACAAACAAAAATATTGATTCCGCTAATTTGAAGTCAGATCAAATATAAAATTATTTATTTAAAAGGAATTAAGCAACAGTGAGTTATTAAATTAAATAGTAAACTTAAAAAAATAGAAGAAACTAATAAGAATAGATTAAGAAGAAATAAGGGGTCGTCCATAAAGTACGTACGCTTTTATTTCGCCCCCCTCCCCGCAATTTGCCATAATCATTTTTGAGTACTCTCAACCTCCCTAAAAGTACCTACGCTTTTAACCTACCAACCCAACATTTTATGATATTTTTTTAAATTTAGTGTCTTCATACTTTTATACTACCTACTGCGCCCTTATCTCAGAAACGCCATTTGCCGACCCCCTCTTTCTCTCCGAGCATACGTTCTTTATGGACGATCCCTAACTTGAAAATTAATCGGTCATAAGAAAAAAAGAATTAAAGTTATGCAAAAGTGAAATCAAAAATATAAATATTGTTTGAGGAGATTGCTTGGCTTAAAAAATTAATATTATTTGAAGAGATGCTTGGCTAAAAAAATAAATATTGTTTAAAGAGATGCTTGGCTTAAAAAATATTGTTTAAAGAGATGCTTGGTTTAAAATATAAATAATGTTTAAAGAGATGCTTTGCTTAAAATATAAATATTGTTTAAAGAGATGCTTGGCTTAAAAAATATTGTTTAAAGAGATGCTTGGTTTAAAATATAAATATTGTTTAAAGAGATGCTTGGCTTAAAATATAAATATTGTTTGAAGAGTTAGCTTGCCTTGAAAGATAAATATTTGTTTAATACTTAACTTACAAGATATAAAAATTGAAATAGCTGATTAAAATAGTCGCCGAAGTTTTAAAAATGTCAGATCTTTAGTGTTAAAATTACAAATTTATAAAAATGAAATAAGTATTCTAACATATTTTTTACAATTAAAGTGTAAAAAAAATATTCTTATTATTGAGAACTGATCAACGAGGACTAACGTATTGAACAATGAGAACTATCATACTGAAACAATTCAAATCAGAAAAGTTTTTTAGGAAAAAATGAAAAATTACGTAGAACTAAACCGTCTCTTAATACTGCACACTTATTCATAGTTTAATCTCTTACTGTAATAATGCATAAGGTAGTAATAATTATAGCAAGCCTAAAAAACTTTATAATAAGCAAAAAAAAGCATTCAGGATTTAAACTTTTGGTGCATTAAAACTGTTTAATGTAAAACTCTGTTAAGAGAATTTAAAGCTTTAAATATTTATAAACTTAATATACACTAAGTTTTCATATTCATGTTTAAAATAAAGCATAAATTTTCTCCTATTCAGTCTTACTTCAGTGCAATTCCTCAAAATGTTCTAATTCAATTAAAAACAAAAGCGAATTTAAAGCTAAGTTCCAAAAATCCAATAGTGTAAACCCTTTTTATGGTAGTGTTTTATGGTAGTGTTTTATGGTAGTTTTTTTTAAAAACTATTAATAAAAAAGAATACTGCTCATCAGATCACTTTTCAGAAAGGAATCAGAAAGAAAAAAAGGGGGTTGGACATCAGAAAGAAAAAAAAGGGGGTTGGGGTTGGGTGGTGAAATGATTGCTGTATAATTTTTGGAGAAAAAGAGGGTCAGTAAAGTATGAATTTTTTTATTAGAAGGGTTAGGGGGGGGGGCTGTGAGGGTTCCAAAACTATGAAAAAAAGTGTTAGATGTAATTTATTGACGACCCTAAACTTAATCATGATTTTAAAATACCTGCCAAAGAAACAGGAACTCATTAAAAAAACTAATGATAAAAAACTTGGATTAGATTGGTCTAAGTTTAGCAGCAAAGATATTGGTCTATAACTCGGTCTAAAAAACAATAAGGCCCAAGTCTCAGGAATCTCAGGAACTTTTTTTTTATAGCAGATCATAAGTCACTCTACATTTTTAAAGCTCCAGGGGCTGTATACTTATCTTTCCATTAAGCTTAATGAAGCGTTAGTCAAAAATATCATTTTAACTACATATACTAATATAAAAATTATTTAAAAATATAATTTTTAAACATAAATATTTTATTTTAATATTAGTTTTATTTAAAGTTTAAATAAAGTTCCCTCACTTCTTTACTTAGAAATATTGAATGAAATTTTAAACAAAAGCTCTATTAAGCTTAACAGAGAAAAGTGAAAATGGCTGCTGGAAGACTAGGAAAAATAGAGATGTAAAGGTTGAATGATTTTGGGATTCCACAATATTTCTTTTGTCTAGTGTCTAACATGACTATAGGTCTCTAAGTTTAAAAACTAGAAAAAATTTATATGCTGAAAGTAAATAGTGTAAATATATTGTAAAAATCTATAAATACCTGAAATCCTATTAAAAAGCTGAGCAACACTGTTTCAAAGTATTTCAGTATTTAAAAACACTTACTTTTCCTTGACAAACAACACCGTGTCTTCATTATGAGATGCTACCATTAGGCTGACTTCTTTGTTTGCGATGTATGGTAAAAGATAGCTTACAACCGAATGATACATTATAGTTGTATCCATGAATGTCTCGTTGATTGGATCACTTATATTATTCTTATTAGCATAATGCTTTTCCTCTACCATGTATGCTCCACGAACTGTTTTACATGCAATTAAAAAACCAAGATTTTTAGCAAGGTTGTGATCTGCCTGAAGACGTTTAAAAGTGTCCTAATAAATACACGAAAAAATAATTTATAAAAATTTATTTCAAATTCTTTTTGTTAAACTACTTAAAAGTGTTTGTTAAAATTTTGCTAAAAATTTTAACAAAAGCTTATTTTTTTAAATTTTTAAAAAATTTTTGTTAAAAATTGTCTCTTTCAAGACATTTAAAAACTAAATTTAAAAAATTACACAAAACTTTACCAAGCAGTCCTTTTTTCAAGAAATTTACTCTTAACAAGTAAGAAATTTACTCTTAAAAGCTGCAAGCAACCACTATTTAAGTTGGGTATTAACAAAAAAAAAAAAAAAAAAAAGAAAGACTATTGTAAAAGAGCAAGAAAATTAGCAGATTTAAAAAACTGTAAATTTTACAAGTTGGGAAAAAAATACAAGATAAATTCCAAAGTATTGATATGTGAGGAAAAAAACTGTATAAGTAAAAATTTTAGTATTTCTACAAAAAAACTTTACAACAATGAGATACAGGCTCAAGCATAGCTGCTAGAGCAGGTCTAACTACATTTACAATTAACTACATTTACAATACCTTTTTGGATCTTTAGAATAAAGATCAATAGCAACAATCAAAAACCAGCATAAGTTTTAGACAACATAGTTTTAATTACTATTATACTTTTTTTATTATAAATTGTATACATTTTATGTAAATTAATATTTAATTACAGTTAAGATTACTATTAAACTAAAATCCAAAAATTTTTTACATTTTTTATTTTGATGTAAATGTTCATAATTATTATTTTTTAAAGGTTTCAATATATATTTTTTTAACTTCTGCTTTTTTAGTGGTATATATACATGTATATACCAGTAGGATAGGCTGCACATAACAGTATATACTGCTAAAAAAGCGGAAGTTAAAAAATATATATTGTAACCCAAAAAAAAAAAAAAAATAACAATAACGAACATTCACAGTAAAATAAAATATAAACTTTTTTTGGATTTTAGTTTAATAGTAATGTTAATTGTAATTATATATTATATATTATATTATATTATATTATATTATTATATATTATATTATATTATATTATATTATATTATATTATATTATATTATATTATATTATATTATATTATATTATATATATATATATATATATATATATATATATATATATATATATATATATATATATATATATATATATATATATATCACAGGTGCTCTGAAGGTGACTTAAGACCTTATATCATATCCCATGAAATTTTTTAAATTTATTTTAAATGTGCACGCTCCAAAACTATCAAAAGTTAAATCATTTTTTGGTAGCTTTTTGAGAAATCTAAGTTATAAGACTTGTTTTAACTAAAGGTTAACGCCCTTCTGACTCACATAAGACCCCTGCAAGTGGATCAAATAGTTGTATATAATTTGTTTGGTGTTTGATTTAGTGGATTGACACTTGAGGATTGTATTTAGAAATAACTTCTAAAAACAATTTGGGCTTTCTTGTTAGAACATTGACTAATTCATCACTTTATAAAAGTTAGCTTTCTTTTTTATTGAAGAGGATAAGGTAGGTTTTATTGAAGCAGATAAGGTAGGTTTACAGGAACACAATAGCTTAATAGAATCATCTTTAGATTTGTAATGAAAAAAATTCCAAATTAAATATTTCTATTTAAAAAAAAGGAAATATTTACTAACAAAAAACACTACATTTAACTAAAGTTATAAAGTCAATACTTTTTTTTTTAATATGAAACCCTTTACCTATAAATGCCTTACGTTGTACACACAGACAGCTCTTTACAAGACTTCATTAAAATTGGCATTGTATTGACACAATAAAAATTGTGTCAACACAAAAAATTGACGTTTTGTTGTACCTTTCGTATTTTCCAAAATTGCTAAAACATCACTAAAGTTTCTCAAAGCTTTCATATATTTTCCACCAATAATATTGCGCTCATCCAGATAAATTTGAAAGCAATCAAGCTTTTTTAAAGGTTCTTCTCCTGATGTTTGGAAAGCAGTCAGAAGCTTCAAGCATCCTTGTCCATATTGTGAAACAGAATCACCAAACATACTGAGCGCAGAGTCAAATTTTCTAACTTCTCTGTGTGAGTGGTATAACAAATGGATGACTGCTGGAGGAAACATTGCAAAAGCTAAAAATTTTAGTAACATAATTAATCTTCCTTTATTGACTGGAAATGTAACAAAGAATATTTTGGAAATTGTTAATATACCAGGCTTACATATTTTGCTAGGCATAATAGACAAATTTCTCAAAATAATTGAAAAAAACTTGATTGAGGACACTAATGAAGGATTTCATTTTGAAAGTAGTTATCTGTCTACAATTAATCTTGCTAGAGTTCTTTATCTAACCTGTGTTTACCTTACACAGGTTAGAAGGAAATAGATCCAACGAGTTGAATCCATTTTCTTTTAACCTGTGTTTACCTTGATAATGTAAAGTAAACCTTTAGATCTTCTGAAATAGAGTAATCCAGAGAATTAAGTTTAATTTATCCAACAACATTTTTATGTTTGCATAACTTTCATCAATAGAGGGTAATACAGCCAAAACTAAAGTTTTGTGAACACTAGTATACTTGAAATCTTTACATCCATACTCATCAGAATATTTCACTCTTTCCTTTTCACTTAAATATGCTTCTAGCTCTGGCTTTAATGTAATTGATAAAGTATAAATTATGGAATTTCTAACATCTTATTGTCACAAGTAAATTTGATACAATGTTAAAAACAAAAAATGCTTTTTTAAAATAAATTATATTTTTTGAATTTAGTAGTAGACAATCTATACATTGTATGAAGTTTGCTCTGTAGTTGTTTCAGTTTTAAGTGTGAAAGGTGTTTTTGGTTTAACTACTCCAATAGAAACAACAAGCTTTTTAGGGCTAAAACTGTTGTTTTTGCGTCATGGGTTAATAAATTGTTGATTGTGGTTGATAAAACTTTTTCTTTAGTTACAGATGAAGTCGATTGTAAAATATGCTTCCAATTCTTTTGCTTAGCTAACTATTTTCAAGGATATTTAATACCTTTTTCTATTTGTTCAGAACAACTTGCAAAGAACAAGATTTTAATTGGTTGTCTAAAGATTCAAATTACTGTGATTAAGATCAACATCTGTATTAGTTTCACATGATACCATTGGTGGAAGAGTTGCTATTTCAGTATCATTTTTACGCCGATTAACACAAATAAAACACTCACATTTACCATTTTGAACTATTATTAGGACCTAAAAGTGATAAGAAGTTATTTTTTTGTGCAAACACAATATTGATTATAAGCAGAACAATAATAATGAAAACATAATTGGTTTTAACTGGATATTTTTTTATAAAACTTACCTTCGTACTTAAGTCGGGTGGTAAATAATAATTTTTTTGAATCTGTTTCTCTAAACTCACTAGATTTTTTCTGCAATTAGAACATAACATGTTAGGTAGACCAGGGTTTTCAACAGAGTAGTTTTTCCAAAAAAACTCTTAATAAGATTTTCATAATTTTTTCCTTGTTTTGGACCTGGTTGAATGCATTTTAAACCATTACATTTTTTCAAAAGGATTTTAAAAACTCTTTATGATCTTTTGCAAAGTACGAAATTTCTATTCTATTCTTGAGAATTAGTATAGGTAAATAGTTCCTTCATTTTTTAATTGACTCTAAAACTTAAGTTACAAAAACTTAAAATGATAGGAGCCTGAGAACAATATTCACCTAAAAAATCAGGACCTACTGTCCCAAATATGAAAACAAGAAAATTTTTTTTTTTTTTTGCAGTATCTTAAAAAAGATCAAAATTCATCAGGAAAAATTATCAGGTCAGGTTTTTTTATTATGAGGTCATAACTTTTGCTCGTTAAAATAGTTTTTTACTAAATGCAAACTTTACAGATGAATTTTAGTCGAGTTCATAATGGTAGAGTTTCATTTTAAGTGCTATCATTGCCCCCTTCCCTAAAAAATATTTGGACTTTAGGACCCTAATTTTAAGGAAAATTTTAAACAATATGTTAATTACGGTAAAAAAGCGTTTCTATTACAAGTGAAACGTATAAACAACATTCCTCTGTTTTGTATACTTCCTTGTGGTATACCGGAAAAAAAATTTAATAATAGATTTTATGAACTTTTTTTATCTGCTGAAATAGTAAATAAAAAATTTTTTTAGTGTTGCTCATATCGTTTTAAAATGCCAAACATTAAAAACTCTCAAAAAGATAATAGAGCTTTAGTCTGCCTAATTTGTTTTTTAAAAGGATCAGGAATGACAAAAGTTAAAGAAGGAAGTGTGACATTAAACAGAATACATAAGTTCTTTTTAAAATCATTTAATTCGAACAATGAAAACTTTCCAAATGGCATTTGTACTAAATGTAGACAAGCATTAGAAAACTTGAAAAAGGAGATAAAAACATTATTCTGAGTAAACCGTATGAATTCTCAAAAGTCAAAGTATACTTACCAATCATTCTGTGTTTATGACATTTGTAAAATTGCAGGAACTACAATTACTTAAAGATCAACATCTGAAAATAGAGGGAATCAAGTTGGGAAGAGTAAAGGCATCATCACCTGGAAAAATAAAAATATGTAAAAGTTGTAGGGTTGTCATTGGAAGAAGATTACGCCACCCTTGCACTCTCACAACAAGAAGAAAAAATTTAATAGAAAAACTTGACAAAGGTAGGGCGAACCTTTTATTTTTGATTTAATATTTTAAACCTGAAATGAAGAAATTTATATAAAATATTTGAAATATAAAAACTGAAAACATGGAAGTAAATTTGCTCTTAATATATTTAGAGGCTGAAAGGGAAGAGAATTATTTGAAAGCAATGTAAGAGAAAAATTAAGTGAAGAGGATAGGTTTTTAAATAATAATTTTAATGATAAAGAAATGATTTTTGAAAAAGATTGCAGACAGATGGTTTATTGTAAAAACATTAAAGGATTTGTTAAGATAATAATAAAGGAGAGAAAATTGTCAAAAGATTTCATTTTAAAGGTGGGCATTGATGTTGGAGACGAAATTTTAAAAGTTTATTTAAATATTAAAGAAAAAGTGACAGAATGTAATGTCAAAAAAAAAAGTTCAGCTATGAGGAAGGAATAGGTAATGAAAAATACAAAGATGGTGGCGTAAACTGCTAAAAATTATTTATGTGTTAATAGAATTAATAAAATCTTCCAAACTGGAAAGAGATGAACATATTATTTCTAGAGTTAATTTCTTTAAATGTTTTAAATCTGTTAAAATTGTGTGTCTTGGTTTAGTTTGTTACCTGAATATGAGTTAACCATTAACGAATACAAAGATGCTTATGTTAAACTTGGTCTACAAGTGTCACTGAAAGTGCATGCTCTTATCAATCATACATGTGAATTTCTTTCACTTATGTAAAATTCCAATCCGAATAAAGGATTAAGTTTTTGGTCTGAACAGGCCTCTGAATCTGTTCATTATGATTTTTAAGCAGTTTTGGGAGAGTGGATACAAAGTTTCTTGAAGCCTTAAAGACTATCCACTAAGCCTGCTTTAAGCCGCTGTTACGTACTACCGACATTTCTTCTTTAACAGCTTTACTTTAAAATTAAATATCTTATAGTATATATGTGTATCTTTTATAAACTTTTATTGATTGTAAATAGAAATAAATATAAACATAAGCATTAATTTGTGTCGTTTAAATCATTCTCCAATTAAAAAACAATTGAATATATACTAAAATAAAAAAATAAAATAAAATTATAAAATAAAAGATCAATTGCAAGATTTTTTATTCTTTAAGATAAGTAACCTCAAGATATGCATTTTCACATTAATGCAAATATGTTTTTTTTTTTGTATGTATTTAAGTGCTCCCAGAAGTCCTTACGGTCTTATCATAGAGCACCACGGGTGAGCATTTAACATGACGTTCACGCCTCCTTCCGTACCAATGTCACTTGTTGTGCTAGAGCTGGCATCAAACCTCGGACCTCTAGGTTCTGAGCCAGAACTCTAACCACTGCGCCTTGGCTGCTCAATGTTAAAAAAAAACATGGTGATCAGAGTTTGGAAACAACATCCTAAAATTAGGGCCCTAAAGTCCAAATGTTTTTTAGGGAAGGGAACAATGATAGTACTTAAAAAGAAACTCTACCATTATAAACTCGACTAAAATTCATCTCTAAAATTTGCATTTAGTAAAAAACTATTTTAACGTTCAAAAGTTATGACCTCATAAAGTTAACAACCCCTTCAAATAGAGGGGGTTTCAAACTTTCCTTGGACGCCATTTATGAACCATAAGAAACTTTTTAAAGATAAATTAGTTTCCCCAATGAATTTTGATCTTTTTTAAGATACTGTAAAAAAAATTTTTTTTTTCTTGTTTCCACATTTGAGACAGTGGGTTCTGATTTTTCAGGTGAATATTGTTCCCAGGCTCCTATCATTGTAATATTTTTTGTAAAACATTCTTACTTGATACCAGTGTCAATACTATGAAATTTGAAGTTTGCACCATCTCTGGAAGCTACCTATTTTAAACATCAAAAAATCATGACCTGCCCGTTTAACCTCCTTTTTTTTTGAAAGATGTCAACAGAATATTTTCCAAAATCTAGGTCATAACAGAACAAGGTAAGTTTTCGAAAATGTAATTCATTTCTAGTATACTTTTTTTTTGTAAGAAATATTTCCACTAGGGTGTGCTTGCTTAATACAAGGGGGAAGGGAATAAAAGGAGGGGAGGGAGGGATTTTAGTCTAGATCTAATAAACAGCAGGGGGGAGGGGCTTGTTCATGCAGTCTTTTGTTCACATTTATTTATTCTCAGTTTTTGAAGTTTTTTCACTGCAAGGTTAGTATCTTTTTATTGTTGGGAGTGTTTTCATAGGGTTTTTAAAGGTATCGTTTATTTCAGAATTATCACTTACAGAAAGCTCATTACTTGCTTCAATAAAATTAATAATTTGACTATTTATTTCTAGAAACTGGGTTCAACAACAACTAAAGACATATCTTTCCTAATCTGAATTTTCTAATAATCGAATGAGTTCACCCTCTCTTATCTTTTTTTTAGTCATAATGCAATCAAAAAGTAAAAAGTTTAAAATGATACAACTTAATTTTTTAAATGTAAACAGCATGCCTTTATATTTTCAGAGTATTTAAAGTTTATATATTGTAAAAAGCATTTTATGATCATGTCTACTTTATATAAAATAAAAAATAACACCCTTAACCAAATCGTAGAATGACTAATTAATAAATTTAAACTATTTTTTAAACATATTTTTTTAATTTAAATTGAAATATTTAAAAAAAAAGCTAATTATTTCTTACTTTTCTGTAGCATTGGTATGTGTTGTAAACAATATGCCTTTCTTTGTTGTATTTAGCTTGCAGTACTAGTACAAGATAGTTTAACGTTGCTTGCATATATGTTTGTTCTGCATCAACCATAAGTCGAACTCCATGCTTTGCTGAATGCTGCCAAAATAAATGTGCTTTTTAGCTTTATCTATACTTTTCAGTTTAGTAAAGATTAATTATGAAAACTACAAATTGAATCATGCAAATAAAATTAATAAAGCTCTTTAAAAATAACTAAAAGAAAAATAAAAACTTTTAACTAGACCAAGCAGGTATAAGATTTAAACAGAGCTGGCACTTACCTGAGCTAGTTTATCGAGATAGCTAAGTAACTTTACAAACTTTTTATTACTCTCGTCTGAAAGCCCAGATAGTTTGATTTTCTAAAATATAAACATTATATAACAAATATTCAGTTTTTTTTTATTCGAACATTCAAGCAATATGCATTTTGTAAATAAAAAACATTTTAGAAAACTTTTTTTATATTTGTAACAATAGAATTTGTCTATGTTTTTGTTAGACGAGTTTATGCCCTGTAAACTAGTTTATGACCTGCAAACTAGGTTATGGCCTGTATTTTTGTGTCAGAATAATGCTAAATATTTTTTTCGCAAACATTTATTTTTATTTTCATAAGATTATGCTCAAATTTTGCATTGAAATGTAACTATCTGAATGTCTATTTCAATATTTCATATAATTGGGAATGAACTTAACTAGATAAACAGTTTGAAAATAATTCTTTTTAGCATAATATAACCTAAAAAACATAACAAAAATATTTTGGGTGAATCAATATGGCAGCTGGTTTTTTATATTAAAATTTATACAATACCCTGTTATGTGTAACAAAACTCCATGATTTTCTGCTTTGTTAGCTTTTTTTTAACACATATTATTGATTTGAAAAAAATGACTGAAACTGTTTATGAAGGGTAATAAATTTTTTCAAAAAAAATTTTTTGAATATTTTTGAAAACCATGTGGGCATTTTTCTGTAAACTTTTAATGAGCATCGTAATTTTTTAAAAATCTTTTTACTATATTCAAAACTTTCTGTTGTTTTAGTCTGTTATTTACTTTTATTTGAAATTTTATTTACTTTTTCAAAAATTTTTTACATTTTACACCAAGAAAATTTGCACTGCAGGCACAAAAACACCTAAACCATGTATTTTTGGCACTAAAAAGCACTTAACTTTTAAAAACATTTGAACTTTAAAAAAAAAAAATGTAAAAGCAAATCTTACACTATATTGACATGATTTGATTAAATCAACAACTGTCCTGATATCCCAATTTTCATCCTCATTGTGGCTATACTGATATTTTTCAAGTTGTTTGTTTGCATTTACCTAAGAATTTTTTTTCGATTTAGAATAACTTGTATTAATTAGATTATAATTTTATGGCTAAAAATTACAATAAAATTTATTACCAGTAATTCTTTATCACATAGCGCAGTGATTTTGAGCTGTGCAAATCCATTGGACTCAATGGCTGCTAAACCAAAAAAATTACAATAGTTTAATTATACATATTCTACAAGATAATAAAACTTGGATGTTAAAAAATCAGTAGACACCTGGTTATCAAACAAGCATTATTAAAAGTTTTCGCTAGTTTGTGGAGATTTAAATTCCCTGTTGAGTTCAGTTATTCAAAATTTTGCTTACTCAAAAGGTTTTTCTCTTCTTTTTGACAAACCCAAAAAATATTCAAAGTTTTTTGAAAATTTTTTCTGACTTCATTGTTTAAAACCCCAGACAATGTAAAGAAAAAATGATTTTATTTTTTAAAAGACAGTTGCTTTTAAAATCTATATATCCATTCTAGAATCATTCAATCCTTTCTTGGATCCATTTTACATACCATTCAATCTATTTTATTAATGCATTCTTAAATATATTTATCATATTACAATTCCAAATGAGTTCTAGCAGACAAAAGTTTTTTTTATTTCCCAAGTCTTTCTTGTAATTTTAATGTAACAAACTTCTGTTTGTTATAACAAGTTTGTTACATTAACAAAAAAGTGTAATTTTAATGTAAAAAAGTAAAATGATGTTCTTATATATCATCTCTCTAATTTCTATAAAACTACTTTTCCTTAATTTCTATTTAAAAAAATGCTATAAACTATCAAGTTTCCTGAAAACCAAATTTATCAGAGATTACAAACCCAATTTTTCGAAAACATTGATGACAAATCAAACAATTGCTAAACTCATATTAAAGCCTCATATCAAAAGGTTGATCATTATATGAGGCCCATATCAAAGAGAGTTGACTAACACACTTTATAAAAAAAAAAGCAACCAAAAATGCACAATTTTTTGAAAAAAAAATTTTACATTTTTTTTTAAAATGCAAATTTTTTTGTTATTTTACAAAGTAAATAATTAAACAGCATCTAATGAACAATATCAATAAATATTCACAATATTGCAAAAACTTGGTAAAAAATATATTCTTGGCTAACACCTTGTGTATATATATACAAGTAATTATATTAGTAAGTATCATGTATATATATATATATATATATATATATATATATATATATATATATATATATATATATATATATATATATATATATATATATAAACATATATATATATATATATATATATATATATATATATATATATATATATATATATATATATATATATATATATATATATATATATATATATGTATATATATATATATATATATATATATATATATATATATATATATATATATATATATATATATATATATATATATATATATATATATATATACAGTGTCAAAAATGTTTTCATCCACCTATCTTGCACATTTTAAAAATGCAATAAATTTTTATTCAGCAAAGCTGTTAGCATGATATTAACTAAATTATATCATTTAAACATTTAAGAAATATTATACAAAGAAAATTTTTTAAAGTAATGAGTAACAAATAAAATACAGCATTTCAGAATTAAAAATTTTAAACTTTTTTGTCTTAAAAAAGTTTTCATCCACACAAAAAAATGACCTAGTAAGTCCCAATTTGTAGGCTCTTTCTTCCAGATTATTTTTTAAAATGTTTAAATACGCATTTTGATCCATATTTTCATCAATGAAAACCAAATTACCTACACCAGAAGCACTCATACATCCCCACACTAAAACACTTCCTACACCATGCTTCACCGTTGGACACAAGTTTTGTTTTTTAAATGCTTCATTTGGTTTTCTCCAAACTTTAACTCTTCCATCTGATGAAAACACATTAAATTTCGACTCATCGCTAAAAAGAACCATTTCCCAGAATGTCTGTGGTTCATTAATATATAGTTTTGCAAAATGCAGTCGTTTGGCTTTGTTGACTTTGCTAATGAAAGGCTTTTTCAATGGTACTCTACTATTGTATCCAGCTCTTTTTAAGGTTATTCTAAAAGTTTCAGGGTCCACTTTTAAACTGTAATCATTTTGCAGCATTCCAGCAAGTTTCGGAGCACTTATTTTAGGATTTTGGAAGACTGTTCTTAAAGTAGTTTGTCGATGCAATACTTGAATTTTATTTGGGCGTCCTGTTCGTGGCTTATCAGCAATTTTTTTGGTGGTTTGGTATTTCTTGATAATTGACTGCACAGTTGCACGTGATTTCTTTACTATTTCTCCTATATTTGCTGTGATTTTCCCTCCTTCCATAGTCTAACAATAAGCAATGTAATTTCCTCTGCAACTCTCATTTTTTGTAACAAATTGAGGTTGGAGTGCAGGGTGGATGAAAACTTTTTTGGCGCTAAAACAGACATTATTTATTTTAAAATGTCCTATTTTATTTTTTATTTATTATTTTGTAAAATCTTTTTATACAATACTTCTTGAATGGTTAACTGATATAATTTAGTTAAAATTATACTTATATCTTTGCTGAATAAAAAGTTATCATGCTGAAAAATGTACAGAATAGGTGGATATAAACTTTTTTGACAGAGTGTTTATTTTAAATGTTTCAGTAGAAAAAATTGAATCACTATAAAATTCTGGTTCTTTTGAGATGCAGGCTGATATACTTTTTAACAAAAAAAAATTCATGGATATATAGGAGCCAGTGTGTAATCAAGGGTCGTGGTGGGTGACCTTTTTAAAAAATTAAATAAAACTAATGACTTTTCAGTTACTTTTAAACCAAAGTTCATCAGTTTTTTATATTGGAAACTAGAGATACCAAAAAGTCAACATCCTAACAAACTGTTTGTAATAGCCGCACAAAATGTTTACACCACACACCAATCAAATAGTACTGTGCGACTGAAGAATTTATTTTGCCAATGTTGTTGAGTATCTTGAGTTATTTATAATATATATTTTAATATATTGAATATATATATATATATATATACTTCTTCAAAGTACAGTAGAGAAAAAAATGGAGCCTGTTTATATAAAGCTGTACATTGCGTGACAGGAAATGTTAGGTATTAACAAGGTGCATGAGTGTTCGGCAAATGTTGATAAGGGAGAATAAAAATTAAGAGGAAACCTTAATGGTTTGCTTTATAAAGAAATACCTATAAGCAAATACTGATAGATTATTTACTCCTTTATGTTAATAAAACCACTGTACTCTCCTAGTTACCGTAAGATTGGGTGGCTTTGGCCCATTTTGCATCTTAATGTCTATTGCATGAAAGCCACAAAAGTTATTTCCTCAAACACTAAGTACTTTTAGAAGCGTATAGAAAGAACAGTTAGAAATATCTGTCTCCCATTTGAAAATTATTTACCAAACCCTGTAAAAAGGAACTAAAAGAAGCAAAACTACAATAAAAACAGCAATATTTAGGCAAAGAAAATAAATTTACAAAAAGAAAGTGACAAAAAAAGATTTTGTAACAAAGTTCTTGTGTACAGTAAATAAAATATAGGTACAAACTAAACAAGTATAGGTACCAAGTAAACAAAACAGTTTAGGTATAAAGTAAACAAAAATGACAAAAATAATGTTTTAAAAAATGTAGTAAAAAAGTTCTGGAACTGAATAAATTCCTCTTTTCGAAATTTTCTTTGGTTCCTCAATAAAATCGACAATTTCAGACTGGGGAAAAAAAATTGCTGGTAGTGACCATTTCCAGTTAAGTCCATTTTTTTTCATAATAGTAATTTCTGCTCCATTTTTTCTTAATTTTTTCAACTGCAGAAAAAAAAATTTCGAAAGTTTTTTTTAAATTTTTCAGTAGTTTCATTAAATAATATTAGTTATTAAATTAATTAGTTATAAAATTTACTAATTGATTAGCTAAATATAAATAAATCAAAATAAATAAACAAACCAGTCCAGGATTTAACTCTCCATTGCATTTAACAATTACATAACAATTCTCTACAAGATTTAATAATTTCTTCTTTTTACAAACATTTTTTGTTTTACCAATATTTTGAAAGTTCTTTTTGCCTAATGCTGAATGATCTAAAGATTTTGTATGACTTTCTACAACTAAACTTACATATGCAAAAATTAGATTAGAAGTCTCAGTAGTTCCAGTATTTGTATTTGGGCCAGCAAAATCAATGTTGTTGGTCTCAATTGTATTTATAATACTGATAAATGAATCTACATTATTTGAATTTAATCTATTATTTTCATTTATAACACACAATGATATATCTGTTGAACATAAGCCTTTACCTGGGACAGCACATACTTTACGTCGCTTTAGTTTTTTAGAACCATCTGAGGGATCATCTAGTGACTTACATAAATGATCTAAAAATGATTGGCTTACTAAATCAGTAGTTGAGTCTAAACCTAAATTACAACATGGTGAAACAGTGAAAGCACTTGAGTACATTACAACATGGTGAACAGTGAAAGCACTTGAGACTTGTCTAATGGAAAAATTCCAGTTTTGCGAAAACCAGCTCTAAGGTTATCATTCCCATGTTCATTTAAGTTGGTAATTAAACGATCTAAAAGTCTAGGAAATTCATCTTTAGGAAGAGAAGCAACTCTCCTTCCTTTTCCTTTCTCCTTCCATTCACATAATATTTTGCGCCAGTTAATCTTCATAGGTCTAAAGTAGGCAACATCTAATGGCTGCGTGAGATGTGTAAAGTTTGCTGGTAATGCCACAAATCCTATGTTATTGCTTTGACATGCATCCAGTACTGCAATGCTCAAATGTGAAGATCGTTATCACCTATAATGACACTTTTTCCTTGAGCCTTCTTAAGTCGTGGAAGAAGTAAAGAGAAAAACCAGTCCTCAAAACATGTTAACATGAGTCAAACCAACCACTTTTTGATCTGTTATAACGTGCTTTTAATGGCCCATGTTCCATCCATGTATTCCATAACAACTCAGGTTTGTAAACAACATAAGGTGGTAGCAATTCACCATTAGCATTACCGCAAAACATTACAGAGAATGAGGTCTTTGTAGAATTAATGATGCGTTCAGGATACTTACATCCACGCTTTGTTAATTTTTTTTTTACCTGGATCATCACTGAGATTGGTTTCATCATAGTTCCATATATTATCAGGTGATATATTACTTATTTCATTTGATAGATTTATAAAGTAGTTATCAATCACAGTAGTTCCTATTTCTGCTCTCTTTCTGTTTTTCTTTATGTTGCTTGCAAATCTTACTGTGAGTTCTGGATTTCTATTTAAAAAAGATTGAATCCAATCACCACCTAGAAAATTATTTTTGAACTGAGGTATAATGACGCCTTTTTTCTCTAAATACCCTTTTACTATGCATCTTAAATCATATTTATCAACAGGAAAACCAAACTCAGATGATTTTATTGCATATGCCTTAAACATGTCTTCTTCTTTTGATGTAAATATTTGCTGACCACCATACTTTTTAGGATATGTCTGTTTTATTTTATTTTTTAATGTTGATCTTGGTATATCGTATTTCAAAGCTGCTTGTCTTTGAGTAATTAAACCATTCTTTAAATCTTTTAATGCATTGTCTAACTGTTCTAAAGTATAAGTAACATATTTTCTTCTTCCACTATTTGGCTTGTAATTTTATGGCATATTTAAACTTAGAACTAAACAAATTTCACTAAAATTTTATACTGATTTACTAATACAAACTGTTATAATGATTTTCTATTGCATTACTACTAAAAAATTTTTCATTCCAACATAGTAACTACCATAATATCATTAATATAATAATATAAATGATCACTAAAAAAAGTTTACTCTAATACATGGTGTGACTTTAGCCCGGGCCAATATCACCCTATGTAGTGGGCCAAAGACAACCTATTTTTTTTTAACCTCAATTACAAAAAAGTATCAAACTGTTAAGCTTTCAAAACAAGATAGAATCAAACACTAATGGTTTAAAATTAATTTAGTGTATATTTTAATAAAAAACCTTCAACAGGTACTGCTATCGATGTAAAAGTTTACACACCTAAAAAAATTCGAATTTTAGGTGCTTCTTCTAAAGTGCAATTTACAATAATATCACAAAGACTCGAGTTAAGTAAACTAAGTTAAACTAAATAAATAATAAATTTCCCACAACTACTAAACATCAACCGACATACCTTAAGGTATCGATTTTAAACCATTTTTAAACAAAAATTTCTGTTTGGCTAAAGTCCAAGTCTGTAGGGCCAAAGCCACCCAATTTTACGGTACTAACATTCTTGATAACACAATTGAACTTGTGGATTCTTTTTTTATTTATAATAATTTGTAATATAACTAATGTTCACAAATTGACGCATTTGACAGACACACAAAAATATGATCATTATTTACTAATAAACTCAAATTTTTAAACAAGATTTTATCTAATGCATTTCTACTACTCATAGCAAATGATGGATGCTACCGCGTAAAAAAACCATTAAATGTGGTACTTCCAGTTACATGTTGAGAACCCTGTATGCTTACAAAGAAAGAACTCAAACACTACAACATCTTATTGATTTAAACGAGGCCTGTACAGTAAGGTTGGGAACAAAGGTATATGTGACATGCATGGAATACCATACCAATTTTAGCATGGAATACCATACTAAAATTTCCTTAACTTTTTTAAATAGGTGATATGATAATCAGTGTTATTGTTGAAGTCATAATGCCTGTAGACTTAATTAGTCTTTTTATTAGTCTTGTTTTGCTGTACTTCACTGTAATTCGCTGCATTAATACAAAAAAATTATTACCTTGTTGTGTTTTTTTTTAAACGAAATAAATTAATTTACACTTTTTTTTTTTGAAAACTGAAAACAATTAAAATTAAAAAAAAAAGTTCAATTATTTAACAAGCATTTTAAACATCAGAAATTATGAAAAGTTGATTCATAGAGAAATTATATTTATTTGATTATACTTTTGCCACTGTAGTTAAATGTGTAATTTGTTGACTAATTAATAAAAATCAAAGTGATTAGAGAGCACAAATATTACTAAAGCTTAAAAAGAAGTAAATTACAACTAAACTTGTAGTATTTAGATAAAATACACCATTATTTACTATCTTAGTTAAATTGGTAGAGCATATGGTAAGTTTTAATATAAAAATGGAAAATTGTCTGTTTCCATTTTGTTGATAATCCGCTCTTTGGTACAAGAATTGTTCACTGGTTTGCCATCAGATTGAATTTTAATGACCTTTTTACTGTTTTTGTCATAATTGTCTAAGGTCAGGATGTATGGTATTCATGATCACCCTGCTACTGGTAACATGTAACCCAGTGCAACCTGCTCCATTACCGGCTGCCTTGTGAGACTTGCTTTCTAAACTATTGCTTGAAGATATACTACATTATATGTATGTTTGTGTTCTGTCTAAACATCTGGCGCGGTGTTGACTCACCTGTAAGTTGCTATCTGTATGTTTGTGTTTTGTCTGAACCTCTGACGCTGTGTTTACACAATCAAAAGTTACTTTATGTATGTATGTGTTCTGTTTAAATGATTCAATGTTCTGTTTAAATGTTTAAATCTGTTTTGATGCAGTGTGAGCTCATTAACTAATTAGACACTCTAACTATTAAACCTATCCAACTATTAAACCTACGCTCACCCTTATCTGTAGTATTTTGTTATGTGTAATATTTTTCCTAATGCATTTCCAAAATATCATGTCCAATATTTTAAGGTGCTGTTTGCAGGAAGTAGCTACTTTTAATTACTCTAGGTCAATTCAGGTTGGGGATCATCACGATCATCTTGCTCCTGGTACTATGTAGTCCAGTACTACCTGCCCTATGCCCTGTTGCATAGGGCAAAAATACTCATCTTGGGCAGATGTTAACTGCATCCAGCTGCTGTCTTGTAGGAAGCCTAGTCAAAGACTTTAGGGATAAGCAGAATAATTCTGTTGACCAGCCTCAAACCCCTTCTTCATCTATTAGGCTGGCATAGATGTAAAGCTGTGTTACACTATTTCCTGCCTGGGATGATGAATGCTGGATCTTCTTGACTTTTTTCATAGGTTTTTAATTGCGCCTCCTTAATAGTGGCTATGAAACTTTTTCTGTTATCTCTTAATAAGGGTACAGCTCTACAATTCAGTTTAATGGTTCTGAGGCCAGCTGGTAGTAAGGTTTCCTGAACTCTGTGGTAGCTCTCAGAGGGGCTGATTCCATCAACAGCTGCAAAATATCAGAGTACTAACAGTGCTATGTTGCGCATGGATGGTGTCCCTGTTCATCAGTTAAGTCTTGCGAAATTCGTCTCGCAAAATTCACCAGACTCTAGCCTCTCGCACAATTCACCAGACTCAAGCTGTTCGTGAGACTAATTTAAATTCTCTAGCTCTTCGTGAGACTAAATTAGTAAGAGAGAATAATTTAATTCAGACTCTTCGTGAGACTAATTTAATTCAAAATGAAATAATTCGTTTTGATAACATATAAAAGCATTGGGTTTTAAAAATTCGTTTTTAACTATACTTGCTTTTCAAAATTAATTATGCACCAATATTAGCATAATTATTTTTGTAAATTTTAATTTATTAAAATTTACAAAACTAATTCTGCTTATATTAAGCTAGCTATAAGCAAAATAATTTTTACAAGTGAAAAAATAACGATATTTTGAGTGATATTACCTGTTTCTTCGATGCATCTTAAGACGGTATTGAAATTTTTTTCATATTCAAATTCACTAAAGAAATATTACATTTATATTTATTATTTATATTCAATTAAACCATAAGTTCAATAGTAAATTAAACTATTGAGTAGAATAATAACTTTATTATTTATACATTCAAAAAAATTACTAAAAATGTTGGTTAGACCATGGAAGTATAAAACGGTAGGTACAATCGGCAGAGCAGAGCAGATTGGCAGAGCAGATCATTGTAATGTTAATAGCGGCAGAGCAGATTATCCAATCAGCCGTTTTCTAATGCCAAATATTATTTGGCAGATCACACATTATTCAAATATTATTTGGCAGATCACGCATTATCAAAATATAATTTTGCAGATCACAAAATAGAAAACGGCTCAATGTCTGTCTGTGATAATCTGCTCTGCCGTTATTATTATTACAATGATCTGCTCTGCCAATCTGCTCTGCCGGTTGCATTATGATCTGCCAAAATATTTGGCAGATCACACATTAGAATACGGCAGATCACTTTTTTTTGGAAAATATTGCGACAACAAAAAACGTTTATGTTTAAAAAGTCAAATCATAGTTCTTTCTATTCGAAGTGCATCGTTTTTCATAAAAATATTTGGCAATCACATTATAAAAATTCTATTATATGATCTGCCAAATTATTTGGCAGATCACATATTAGGAAACGGCTGATTGAATAATCTGCTCTGCCGTTATTAACATTTCAATGATCTGCTCTGCCAATCTGCTCTGCTCTGCCGATTGTAACTACCCAGTATAAAACAGATGGAAGTTCAAGCCGCACACATCAAAGCAATATGAAGTTGTCTCGGGACTTGCTTGTAACCGACAACAACAAAAAAATAGTTTCAATGGACCAAAAATAACAAAAAAATCACTGAGATTATTTTTATTACAGGGTTATTCATTCTTATATGCGCATTTATTCATTCTTTTATATGGGTTTATTTGCGAGTCAACTACCCATAAAATCTCAAATTTATTTTTATGTAAACTATAAATAGGTTTTTATGTTTTTATATAGATATACTTAAATTATAAATTAGGTTGTTGCTATCGCCAGGGCCGGCGCGAGTAGGTGTCACGTGAGGGGGGGGGATGCCATTACATTTTGCCGACCAAAAAAAAAAAAAAAAAATCCTCGTTTTCCAAAATTTGCCGACTGCCATGACGACATTTGCCGACTGTCTAGATTACCGACTAACCTATATCGGAAGGGCCGACATTTGCCGACTAACTAGTCTAAAAGGGTCCAATTTGCCGACTAAAGAAATGGTTTTTAGATAAAAAAAAATACATACTAAGTGGGTAAAAAGAGTGCAACAAGAAATAATTTGCACCATCTGTCCTACTTCCCCTCCCCCCTCCTGTGGCTTTACTTCAGGTAGATAGGGAAGGGTGGTGAGGAAAGGGCAAAAGTCTTCGTTTACCTGGAAATTGTTTACCAGGATATAAGAAAAATTTGTTTTAAAAAAATAAATTGTCTTTTTACAAATGTAAAACAAATTGCTTACATGTAAATGATTTTTTTTTGTTCAAATTTCTTGTTTAAAACGCATTTATTCATTCTTGTATGTATTAAATGATTTAGTTTAAAACGCATTTATTCATTCTTGTATGTGCATTTATTCGTTCTTATAAGCACATACTATCTACTATAGCATATTTATATGTGCACTTGCTCACATTTAAAAACCTTCCTACGCGACTGGGAGCAATAACAATTAAATGATTTAGTTTAAAACGCATTTATTCATTCTTGTATGTGCATTTATTCGTTCTTATAAGCGCATACTATCTACTATAGCATATTTATATGTGCACTTGCTCACTTTTTTTGCTCATCTAAATCAAAACGGCTTTTTTAGATAAAAAAGAAGAAAACGAAGAATAATGAATGAATGAATGAAAAGATTGCTGACCTAAACCAAACCCTCAGTCGATGTAACAGCACTCCACTGCGAATTAGGCTATTTGTCAGTCAATGTATGTACTGAAGTCCCCGGCAGCAGGCTATTTTAGTATGAAGTCACACTGCTCACCTAACTCAACAGTACAAGATATTTGCGCATATAAGAATGAATAAAGGCATGTATATAAATGAATGAATAAAGGCGCATATAAAAATGAATAGACGCGCATATAAGAATAAATAACCCTGTAAAACATTAAAAAAAAATCATATAAAGGATACGCTTCTTCAGTGGCGTAGAAAAATTCATGTTGTTTATAAGCCAACTTATAAACAACATGAATATTCTAAATTTTATTACTTTCATATGTATGACGTAAAGATTCAAAAAAAAAATTATTGCGATAGGATGAAACCCTAAAATCTTAGCCCCCCCCCCTCCTGTCCTAAACGTGAGAGCAACAAGTTAATGAAATATTTTTTGTATTATTTTCAGCTAGACTTATATTCAACGAGAGATTTTAAATTTCACTGTAAAATATTTTAGTGTTTATAAATTATGACCATATAAAGTTTGCAGCTCCCTCAAATTGAGGGGGTTTAAACTTTATATAGTCATAATTTTTGAACAATAAAATATTTTAATATGAAATTTAAAATTTTCCGATGAATATAAGTCTAGTTAAAAATAGTATTCATCAGCTTGTTGCTCTCACGTTTGGGGCAGGGGGGCTAAGATTTTAGGGTTTCTTGTTCCCATTCTCCTATCACAATAACGTTTTTTTTAAAAATCTTTTCGTCATACATATGAACGTAAAAAAGTTAGAATATTTATGTTGTTTATAGATTAGTTATTTCAAACATTTAAAAACCTTCCTACGCAACTGGGAGCAATAACAATTAAATGATTTAGTTCAAAATAAAATGATAATATTAAAAGCACTCGAAGTAAATAGATAAAATAATGGACCTGAAACATTTGTAGCAAGAGATGGATGGTTAACAAAATTTAAAAAACGCTGCGGTTTACGGATTTTGTCTGTTTGTGGAGAAAGTATATCACGCAACGAGGAGCTAGCTAATTCATTTAAAAATAAATTTAAAAATTATATTGCTATTGCTAAACCAAAGATTTGTTAAAATTTTATTTTTATATATACTTTTTAGTATAATTAATAACTACGCTTACATGATAACAATAATAAAATATTTCTTTTGCAAATTAAAACTGAATTTATTTATTCTACACAGTTTAGTTAGTAAAAGAAATAAGTAAAAATTTTAAGTAAAAATTTCCAGACGATAAGTATTTTTATACTCCTTTTTTCCCTATAAGAAAATTTTTTATTAAAATTGGTTCAAATGAGTTGCTTATATAGAGCGTTCACTGTACTTGATATTTGTGGTAAATAGAATTCGCCTAATCAATAATTATTTTCAGTTTACTTGCATATTTTGATCTGGTGATACACATTTGTGACTTAATTTTTATTATTATTTGTAAGTTAAACAAAGAATGTAAAATCAGTACTCATAACGTTTTTAAAATTTGGTTTTTGATACCTGAATTTAAAATGAGACGTGGAGAGTGTTTAATAAATGAAGAAACAGCTGTAACCAAAGCATACAAGATGCAGGCTTATCTAATTGGAAAATTGCAAAGAAATATCTCTAAAAGTGATTAATAATTACCTCAAGAAGGGAGTAAATTATGGAACTTATAAGAGAATTAGTGGAAAATGTATTTGATAATTGATATTTGTTACATTGATACTCAGCTAAGTCGTAACTTTGGTGGTCAAAATGGTTTTGGGGCTTTTTCCTTTGCTGCAAAACTTTTACTGGCACGGATTTTAACAAAAATGAGTTCACAGAATTACATTGACTTAATAGAAATTAGTTTACTTGAACATGGTGAAAAATTGATGGGTGAAAATTTCACTTTTCATCAAGACAATGCTGCTATCCATAATTGATATCTTACAAAAGCTTGGTTTAGAGAAAAAGTATTCACGTAATTGAATCATCCGCATGCAGTCTAGATCCCAATTGAAAATCTATGGAAAATACTTATAAAGAAGGTTTATGAAAAACGTAAGCAATTTGAATCTACATTGAGCTGAAAACTCGTATCAGAGAAGCTTGGAGTGAAATATTTATAGAAACTATCCAAAATCTTGTGACTAATTTGTTGGGAAAATATTATTAAATCTGTCCAACAACATCCGTGAAGTAGTGAAATAACATCCGCACATTTTTGTCCAAGATCATCCGCTTTTTTTCTTCACTGAATTAACATCTGTCCAACAACATCCAAAATTTCATTGATGTTTAATAACATCTTTAGAAAGATGTAACTACATCCGGGAGTTTTTCTCGTAACTTTTTTTTTCTGTGTAACTACATCCGCCTAAAATAATGCATTATTAAAAAAAAATGTAGTTACATATATAATGCATAGTTATATATATAATTATTATATTATAAAGTGCTGCTACATCGACTGACAAATAGCCTGATTCGAAATGGAGTGCTGCTATATCGACTGATGTAGCAGCACTCCGTTGCCAGTCAGGCTATTTGTCATTGATGAAATCAGATGTGTAACTACATCTAATTGAAATAATGCATTACTAAAAAATACTTTTTTTCGGATGTAGTTACATCCGAAAAATCTACAGATGTAGTTGCACGGATTTTATTATACATCAATAAAGTTTCGGATGTTGTTAGACAGATGTTTTTAGACATTGCAAAAACGGATGTTGTGACCCTGACCTATAAAATTCAGGAAGCAATACAAAATGTTAAATCAGAAAACAAAATATTTTCTGTATTTTCTTGTATATAACGTAAATAGCCAGTTATTTCTGTTTTATCCACAAACTAAATTCTTTTAGTTTTTTTTCCATTTGTAATTAATTTAACAATCCAATTTATAAATTTTTTAAATATAGTAGAAAATAATAAGAAATAAAGTAGATTTAATAATAATTGTTTTACTAAATTTTTGTTAAATTAGAACAAAAAATAAAGGCGAGGCTAACTCTATTTTCTCCGCTGTATTTTTAAATTGTTGTAAACGTAATTATTTGGGTCAACG